ATATCTTGTTTTACAATGCAAATTGACTACATTTCTAATGGTTAAAGATTAAAAGGCAACTATGGTTTATACTTTAGAAAAACTCTAATTTTTGTTTATATTGCATGGGTAACCTATCAGGGGCCATATTTAGGAAGAAAATTGAGCTCCAATAGCTCCTCAGTTAGGGGTGGGGCCTCATTACCCCCTCTTCCATCCATGCTAGAATTTTGACTGACTTGATCTTGTACAGGTCTAACAGCTACTGTGAGTTGATGAATGTAGTGGCCATTTCACAGTACTCTTCCCCATTCTCTGGCTTTTACATTCTTTTCTCTTCCACCGTGTTCCCTGAGCCTTGGGGCAAGAGTAGAGGCAGTGATATAGATGTCCTATTTAGGGCTGAACACTCAACAGGCACTTATATTCAGCACTTTGATCAGTCATGAGTCCCTGTGTTAACCACTGCTAATTGTAAAAAGAAGCTTCTCTGACCATGGTTGAAAGCAACACTAATCTAGGGATATAAACTTAAGTATATAGAAGGCACTTTGACAATGTGACTGTTTAACAAAGCAATGGTAGTAAGTCCCCACTTCCTCCAGGGCCTATGACTTCCTCAGCTGCTGACTTTTGACCAGGCCTCAAATGCAATCAGAAAACAGTTGGTTACTCCCATAACTGTCATGCCACTATTTTACCAGTAGGTTTATCTTGTCTGGCATGTTGGTATTATAACATGCAGGTTCTAGCACTGGATAAGACTATCGATGTCTCTTCTTACCCAGCAGCTTATATAGCACCTTACGGTGTTATGAAAACTAACCAGCAGGGAGGAAGTTTCCCGGTCAGTTCCAGATTGATTTCTCTATGTCCAGCAACCAAAGTATATTGTGTCTTCAACACTTCAACAGCAGGGTCTTACTGTCAACTTCTAGTAGACAACCAAGAACGTTGGCAGTAAGGTGTTTTGTTTTGGATGTCTCTAGGGACATAACTCAGAGCAAGGTATCCCATGCCTGGTAACCTTTTTATTTAATAATCTGTTGTTAAGGGTGGACTTCCATGAGGCTTTATGTATCCTTAGTTTTTGTTAATCTACCTCCCACCTCCTGCCCCTGTAGTATGCATTTCTAGGGCATAATGAAGAAGGAAGGACTTCATGAAAACATCACTGACTAGAGAGACTCAAAGATCTGAGAATGTGTATTGCACAACGTAGGAATGGGTGTCTGCAAGGAATCAACTTCTAAGGCAAACAGCACAGGACTTGTTCAGGATGACAAGAGAAAGAGACAAGAATGAGGGACAGAGACGAGTGACCAGCCAGCCACACCGATTGAGGGTTATGACCAGCTGCTAAATAGTCTTTATGTTTCAAATAATACATTTTATAATTCAATTTACATAACACATCTCCTTTCTAAGACATTACCAGTTACAAGATGTATCACAAATTTATAGGATTACTTGGAGTGAAGAAGAAAAGGATCCTCAAATTGAATACCCA